AGCGTGCTGCTCGGGCTCGTGTTGGGCTTCGTGCTGGCCTCACGGCTCGTCCTGCCCCGCGCCTCTGAGCTGAAGCGAGCGGGTCCTCGGCGCCGCGCCAGCCTCGAGGGCTGCCGGCCAGGGCAGGCGGCGGCTTCCCAGGCCGGCGGGGCGCGCGGCGATGTGCGCGGGGCGCAGCTCTGGCCGTACGGCCCGGCCTCGGATGGCGGTCCGCGCGACAGGAACTTTCTCTTCGTGGGAGTCATGACCGCCCAGAAATACCTGCAGACCCGCGCCGTGGCCGCCTACAGGTGAGTCCCTGCTCCCCGGGAGCCGCCTCCTGTATCCAGCATCCCCGCGGGCGGCCCTGCCGGTATTCCGTTGGCTTGAGCATTTACCTGCTTCCCAGACCCGAAGCTCCCCGGCAATGTCGGGCGTTGGAAGCTGAGGTCAGTGGTGGGGCGGTGAACGCAACGCACAAGAGCACGGGCTTTGGGGTCAGGCCGACCAGGGTGGCCCCCGTGGGTGTGGTCCTCAGCCCGAATTTGTGCAAGGCACTTTAGCTTTCCACGTCCAAGTCCTCTGCTAAATGGGTGTGATTGACCATCGCTCTCATACCTGTGATAGCAGTGACAGTAACGGTTATCGTTTGATTCTCTGAAATATGCACCTTTGCTTTTGCAGAGCTAGAGCCGAGGTCAGTTAATCTGGTTACAACCCTTCCATAGCATACTTACAGATTTCCCTGGTGGAGGCTCTCCTGTAAATGAAGAGGGCTGCCCACTGCACTCTTGACCACACCAGTCTGTTGAGTTAATGGAAAGAGAACCTTGGGAAAAGTAGTTCTTAGCCCGTGGTAGATTCGGGGTTAACTAGCTCAGTTTAGGGATGTGTGTGTGCGTGTGTGTGTGTGCGTGTGTGTGTGTGTGTGTTATCCAGTATCTGGGTCCTCATTGGCCATATGAGTCATAAAAGTGGCTGGAATCATGTTCAGGATTAACAAAGGGATTAACCAAAGTAATCTTTGGAAGGGCGATGATTTTGGAATGACAGACTTGTAGTGGAGTGAATTTGAGGTAGAAGAGGAATGTGGACTCAGTAAAGGGATTTAATGGGACAGCGTATGTGTGAAGTACAGAAATGCTTACTGTGTGGGTAAGATTTGGGATTCATCCAGCCACAGAACAAACCAATGCAGGGAGGTCCCCTGAGAATGAACTTTTAGAGGAGTCAGTGCTGAGGCCAAGCTGGTTACTGTTGGTTTTTAATTTGTAACCAATACCTTTGAAACTTTGGCTTTTAAATCTAGTGCTGGTCTAAATGTTCAAGCATTAGATGTGAGGGGAAAACATATATGGATACTTGTTCCTCTAAGGGAGGAAGTACAGGATTGGGAAAGAAGATAAAACAGCAGTTGAGAATGTCAGTGCTTTCAGCACATTGATCCCATGTTCCTATGTGTTTCCATTAGGATCTTGTTTAAATCCAGAGCCCAGCTTCTGCCAGGAAGGGTCCTGAGTGTCTGAAAAGCTTAGAGGATAGCCACTTAGGACAAATTTAAACTATGGTAGTGATTTAGGAACCCGCAGATAAAAATTTTCTCCCGGATCTCCCATGAATTACCTGGAATTTTATGCAAATTGTGCTTTTGGACAAGAGAAATGTCCACATCTGAAATTGAGGATGAGCTGTATAAATTGTTTACAGAATGGTTTTGAAAGTAAGTCCACATGACTGCCATTGGGTGAAATCACACCTTTGGAGATGATTACCAAAGTAGTTCAAATGCTAGATTGCCCACCAAACAAATACATTTTTCACGGATTCAGAATCAATATATACAAACCAGTAGGGGTCCTGGTACGCCAGAAAATGTAGCGCAAACTTGACCTACCCTTCTTACACTTGGAGAGTCCTTTCCCTAAGCCCATGCTTGACCCTCTTACTTTTGGTCTCCTTTAGCAAATCTCCTACCTCATCTTTTTTGGATGTAGGACTTGTATCTCACTGTTTATTAACTTTCAGACAGTTGAGATAAAGTAGAAACCCAGTTTGCCCTCTGGTGCCAGTTCTTCCTTTTTTGTGACCACTCTGCCTTTCTGGTCAGGGAAACCTTTCCGGGGAAACAGTGTACCTGCTCAGGCATTCTGTCGGCTTTCCTGCAGCTCTTCTCTTTTCTGTCTTGGATCCTAAGAAGTCCCATTACTTGAAGCTTTGGAGTGGACTTACCTTTCCGGTTCCGGTCCTCTGCTTCTCAACCTGTCAACCCTCTGTTTAGACTGGCTGCAGGAGATGGCACAAGACGATTTTAGTCTTAAAGAACTTTTGGGGAAGGCCTGAATTGGGGCCGAGGTTACAGTGTGTAACTTATGATTATGGCTTTTGCTGTGCTTTGCAGCCCAGGCTGAAACTCCACACTCGGCTCTTAAAATGGAAATTTCACACACAGTTTGGCATAAAAGTCGGCCTGAATCTTAACAGCACTAGTTAGTTTGGCAATGGGTGTGCTCAGTTTTACATCTCCCCTAAAAGGCACACTCATTCTTTATCTTAAGAAATACTCTAATGTTTTTAGTTTTGTTTTTTTTTTTTTTTAATGAAATTATTGTTTGGCTTATGGCTTGAAGGAGATGCCAGCATTTTTAGTAAGATGGCTGTATGGTGTACTTTTATCCTAGGATATTGAAAATGTCAGAATTTAGGTGTAGGGACCAGTAACTGTCTGAGATCCAGAAAGGAGCTTAAAAAGCCTTTTGGAAATTCAGTGAGATCTGCCTTTCTGCACTAACGTTAGTGGACTTTAATGATGGAACAGCCCCATCGTTATAGACTTTTATTTTCCCGACCTGCTAAATGGTTGAAGTGGGGAGAGGGGCCACCAAGGGATGTTAGCAGTGCAGTGACAGCTGATGGCAGGCAAGAAACAGATTTTAAAAAGGAAGCAGAACAAAACTCAAAGTGTAGTTGATCAGAGACTGAACAGGGCTAACTTCTTCCTTAGGCCCTGAGCAGACACCATAGCTGTTAAGTCAAGGAGTAAAAATATGGTTCGTAAAAATATTCAGTTACAGGGGTGCCTGGGTGGCTCAGTCAGTTAAGTGTCTGACTTCAGCTCAGGTTATGATCTTGTGATGATTTATGAATTCAAGCTCCACATCAGGCTCTGTGCTGCACATTCTCTCTCTCAAAAAGAAACATTATTATTATTTTTTTAAATATTTAGTTCTAGGGGCACCTGGGCAGCTCAGTTGGCTAAGCGTCTGACTCATGATTTTGGCCCAGGTCCTGATCCCACAGTTCTTGGGATTGAGCCCTGGGGTGGGCTCTGCACTGGGTGGTGCGGAGCCTGCTTGGGATTCTCTCTCTCTGTCTCTCCCTGCCCCTCCCATGCTTGCTTTCTCTCTCTCTCAAAATAAACATTAAAAAAAATTATTCAGTTGCACTTAAGATTCATTCCTTTGTTTAACAAATACATGCATGGCTCCTCTGGGTTCAGACCCTAAGTATTAAGGACACAGTAGTGAAGATGTTTGTTCTCATGGTGCTTTGCTTCTGTTGTAATGGAAGGGAAGACACTGAAAAGAGGGTTAATGATGGATACTATGGAGAAAACAAAACAAGGTAAGGAAAGGGTGGGGTGGCATCTGGAGAATTTGGTATTTTGGGTGCAGTCTTAACCATGGTTGTGTGAATATCACTGATGAGCAAGGGAGGAGAGGGAAGAGCTGGTAAGTTACAACTTGATTCCAAGTTACAACCAACTTGGAATCAAAGAAGGCCGATAAAAGAAAGCGGATGAGGCCTGATAGTGTCTGGTCTCTTATTCTCAGTGAATTAGAAAGCCTTTGGAGGGTTTAGACAGGAAGGGGAGGTGATTGCATTATGTCCTAAATTGTGAGTTCTGCCCGTTGTGTGGAGCATGGACTGGAGATAAGCAAGGAGATGTTAGGAGGTGGTCAGGTTGGATGTGTGGGTGGCAGGGACTGGTGTAGCAGTGGAGGTGGAAGTGGATGGTTCTGGGATATATGCTGGGGCCAAGGTAAAGTGGTGCTGATGGAATGCTAGTGAGGGGTGAGGCAGAGAGGAATCACGTGCCTCCTGGGGTCTTGCTTGAGACACAGTGTGAGTGGTTGTATCATTTATTGAGATGGGGAAAATGAGTCAACAGGTCTGGTTTTGCATAAGAAGTTTGAAGAAGGCTTTTAGACACGCAGGCAGAAGTATCCTTAGCTTCATAAATGTAATGAATTTACAAAGAAATTAAGAAAAGGGACCCCTGAGTGTCTCAGTCGGTTAAGTGTCCAACGTCAGTTCAGGCCATGATCTCACAGTCGGTGAGTTCAAGTCCTGCATTGGGCTGTTTGCTGACAGTGTGGAGCCTGCTTGGGATTCTCTGTCTCTACCCCTCTCCCATTCGCTTGCCCGCTCTCTCCCTCTCTCTCCCTCTCTCTCCCGCTCTCTCCCGCTCTCTCTCCAAATGAACTTAGAATTAACAAAATTTTTTAAAAAAGTAAAAAACAAGAAATTAAGAAAAGATTTATATCTGAGGTGGTTACAGTGCTAGAGCTCTGAAGCTGTCTTAAACTAAAATTGCCTAAGGGTTCTGCATAGCTGGGGTTTTACAAATATATAAAGAAATTCATTTTGACTCATATCCTAGAGTACTTGTTTTCTCGGCAATTTCACTTCAGAATGGTACCTTGATTCCTCCGAGTGATTTGTTAGGTCATTTAGTGACTGATCATCAGAACCCTGTGTTCTTTGGGTCTTTTGTTACTAGCTACAGTTCATATTATTTCTATATTTTATTCTTTGTTCTTAGTTATGGTGTTTGATACACAGAAGTTCATGTAGTTCAGTCTTTACCTTTCTGATTTTAGGGTCCCCCCCACCAAGCTCAAGCTCAGAAGGTTATTGCCCTGGAGAGATTGTTAAAAGCAACATTTTTTTGCTGATTCTAGAAGGGGTAGAAATAATCTTAATCTCATTTTTTCCCCCAAATAGTGCATTGTCTCAGTACCATCTGTTGAGTAATCTCCCATTTCCCTACCAATATGAAATGCCATCTTCATCATACTCAGAATTCCTGGGTATGTTTTTGGACTTCTTATTCTGTTCACTGATCTTTCTCTCTGTTCTTGTGCCAGTACCACCCATTGAAATTATTGGAAGTTGAATAATTTTTTAATATCCGGTAGACAAGTTCTTCTTTGTTCCTCTTCTGTTTCAAGCATTTCTTGGCTACACTTACCTGTTCTTGCTGGGAGAGTTTTGATACCGTTTGGGTTTTCTTTTTAATTAATGGTTTGAT